CTGCCAGTCGCGCGGTTGGCTGCTGGGCGCGCTGCTGCCGCTGTGTGCGGACAGCGCGGCCACGGCCGGCCCTTGCCGATCGTCCGGCAACATCTCTCGTGCAATCCGACATCAGTTAACTTAATCTGAAATAACATGAACATGATCACTGAAATCACTTGAAAATATAACTTTCGCACGATCAACTGAATAGGGCCGTGGCGAGCGTACCGTGCACCGCCGACGGCGTTAGGCCGTCTCTCGACCGACTCAACTTTTTCCTCGGCAACTCAAGATCAACTAAACATGAAACATCATTTTAAAGCTATGAAGACATAAACTGCACGGACGAACTTGACTATAATAAGAGATAACATTACATGACATGGAACAGCCCGTGGCCATGCGCGACGTGCGCTGCCGACGGCTGTGAGCCAATTCAGGGATAAACTATATTTTTCTTCGACCACCACAAGGTAACTGATTGTAAAATGATTTAAACTGACCAAATCAACGTGAATTGTTCATGAGTTGCCGGACAAAACAAGATGTTACTCGATGATGACCTAACTAGGCATTATCGAACCTATCATGACATGTCTATGAAATATTGAAACATGAGCTGAACAATTCTATCTTATATGAACTTATTATCATAAAAAGAGCTTGAGGATGGCTTTACCTCCTCAAGTGCTCGTCGGAAATCACAAAACTGATCGTAACTTCCCTTAGTCCTCGCGTGCGCGTGTCCGTGTGCGGTAAGCTATTGCCGTGCGATGCTTCGCCGTACGTCTACTGCTACTTGCCGTGCGTGGGGTATGGAAGAACTAAGGCAATTTGCTGGTCTTTTTATGGCTGGACCTTGAGGGATATATATGAGCCGAACCTTGAGGGATGATGAGGTGAAAAGTAGAGGCTTGTGGCTTAACTTAACCTTGACACTTGGAGGTTAATTAAGAACTTTAGGGATGACTAATCCCTCTCATAACCGTCCCATAATGACACGTGTACAAGCTTAAAGAGATGGTAAAAATATTTCCTTAAACTTAAGGAATAGGTACGGCATTTAAATGAAGTTGGGATATTTCCATACGGCTTTTTAACCTTAATGTGTGATTAATGTTTAATTAATCACTTAATTATGCTTAATCAACTTTTAAGCATAATACTTAATTACCAAAATTATTCCGAACGTAAACGACACGTCGAAAATAATTTTCGGTAATTTCGACTGAAAGTAAATAATTCCGAAAATTAATACTCGACAATATTAATATATCGGAACTCAAACATAATTTATACTGATAAAATAACGGGATATTAAAATCCTCCCTCCTTACAAAATTTCCGTCCTCGGAAATTCAAAACATCACTGATACATGAACTATGTACATGGAATATAAAATATGTACATCAAAACTGAAAATCTGGAAAACGAGCGCGAATATCGGACTCCGCCTCCCAAGTAGCTCCGTTGCGATCCCACTGAATATGCACGAGGGGAACATCTCGCTTCCGGAGCCGACGGACCTGTCGGTCTAGTACAGCTACCGGTCGTTCCTCGTACGAAAGATCTGGCTGAACCTGAATATTCGAATGAGGAATGACATGATCGGGGTCGCACACGTATTTACGCAACATAGATGCGTGGAATACATTATGAATGCCTGATAACTCGGGAGGTAGGGCTAGTCGATACGCAACCTCGCCTACTCGCTCGAGAACCTCGAACGGACCGATGAATCGAGGGTGCAGCTTCCCTCTCTTTCTGAATCGAACGACTCCGCAAATCAGACGAACTCTGAGAAAAGCTGGCTCGCCAACCTCGAACTAAATATCTCGTCGATGATGATCAGCTGAAGATTTCTGTCGACTCTGAGCGGTCTTGAGTCTCTGCCGGATCAACTCGACCTGATCTGCAGTCTCCTCGATCAACTTGGGACCGAGTACTCGTCGCTCTCTGACGTCGTCCCAATAAAGAGGGGAACGACACTTGCGACCGTAAAGTGCTTCGTAAGGAGCCATCTGAATGGAAGAATGATAACTGTTGTTGTACGCGAACTCAGCATACGGCAACAATGACTCCCACTTAGCACCCCTGTCAACAACCAAAGCGCGAAGCATATCCTCAAGCGTCTGAATGGTCCACTCAGACTGACCATCAGTCTTTGGATGGTAGGCTGAACTGAACTCTAACTTCGTGCCCATCGCCTCGTGTAAACTGTGCCAGAACCGACTAACGAATCTGGGATCTCTGTCTGATATGATCGTAACGGGCACTCCGTGGAGTCGAATGATCCCACGGGTATATATCTCATCCAACTTATCCAAAGACATCGTCATCGAAACGGGTAAGAAATGTGCAACTTTAGTCAATCTGTCGACCACGACCCAAATAGCGTCGTGATGTTCAGACGAGCTCGGCAATCCCATAACAAAATCCATCGTGACTTCCTCCCACTTCCACCTCGGAATTGGCAGTGGCTGCAGGAGGCCGATCGGACTCTGATGTTCGGCTTTGACTTGCTGACAGGTAAGACATCTCCTGACAAACTCGGCGACGTCTTTCTTCATGCCTCGCCACCAGAACGACCCTTTCAGGTCGTGATACATTTTCGTGCTCCCGGGATGGACTAGATAGGGTGCGGTATGAGCCTCTGATAAAATCTCCTTCCGCAACACCTCGACCTTCGGGACCACGATCCTGCCTCTGAACTCTAGGGCACCATCGACACCTAGCTGAAAACCCTCGACGCCTCCAGCGCGAACCTTGGCCTCCATGACACGAATGAACTCGTCAGAAGCCTGTTCCTGCTGGATTCTCTCTCTCAGCGTTGGCTGAAGCTGCATGGCACTGAAACTGGCACTGACGCTCCCCGAAACGGATATGGGAAGTGCATCGATCGCCTGAAGCTGCAAACTCCTGAATCAATGGACTCTGCTGAGTAATGACGTACGTCAAGTCACCCCTCACCTTTCGGCTTGCGGCGTCAGCAATGACGTTCTCCTTTCCCGGATGATACTGAATCGAGCAATCGTAATCCTTGACGAGCTCAAGCCAACGGCGCTGTCTTATATTAAGCTCCTTCTGCGTGAAGATGTACTGCAGGCTCTTATGATCTGTGAAAATCTCGCAATGTCCTCCGTAAAGATAGTGTCGCCAGATCTTGAGACCATGAACAACGGCGGCTAATTCCAAGTCGTGCGTCGGATAGTTCTGCTCATGCGGCTTAAGCTGACGTGAAGCATACGCGACGGCCTAGCCATCCTGCATAAGGACACATCCCAAACCCTGTCTCGAAGCATCGCTGAAGATGGTGAAACACTGAGAAGGATTGGGAATAGTCAACATCGGTGCTGAAGTTAATCTCTTCTTGAGCTCCTAAAAGCTCGCCTCACAACGATCAGTCCACTCGAACCTCACAGACTTCCTCGTCAGCTGGGATAATGGGAGAGCGATCTTGGAAAAGCCCTCGATGAACCTGCGATAATAGCCAGCTAGACCGAGAAAACTGCGAACCTCGGACGGACTCCTCGATGTCGACCAGTTCTGAACAGCTGAAACCTTAGAAGGATCCACCTCGATACCTGCCTGAGTAATCACATGACCCAGAAAAGATACTCGCTGGAGCCAGAACTCGCATTTGGAGAATTTTGCAAACAACTTTTCTCGTCTGAGGGTTTCGAGAACTACCCTCAGATGCTCCTCGTGCTCCTTCTGGCTCTTCGAGTAGATAAGAATATCGTCAATAAAGACAATAATGAACTGATCGAGGTAGGGATGGAAAATATGGTTCATGAGGTCCATGAAAACTGTTGGAGCATTGCTGAGACCGAATGGCATGACGACGAACTCGTAATGGCCGTGACGAGTCCTGAAAGAGGTCTTAGCGATATCTGACTCCTTAATCTTCAGCTGGTGGTAGCCTGATCGTAAATCAATCTTTGAGAACACACAGGCTCCCCTCAACTGATCAAATAAGTCATCAATCCTGGGAAGCGGATACTTGTTCTTGATCGTCAACCGGTTAAGATCCCGATAGTCGATACACATGCGCATGGATCCGTCCTTCTTCTTAACAAAGAGAACGGGTGCTCCACAAGGTGACACAGTCGGTCGGATGAAACCGAGTCGTAATAGCTCCTGAATCTGAGTCTTAAGCTCCTGCAACTCCTTTGGCGCCATACGGTATGGGGCTTTGGATACTGGACCGGCTCCTGGAATAAGATCGATAGAGAACTCCACCTGCCGGTTAGGCGGTCCTCCTGGAAGCTCATCTGGGAACACGTCCCCAAACTCACGAACAACTGGCACATCGTGAGGTGATCGTGCTTTCTGAGAATCGTCGACAAGGCTCCCCAGATAACCCTGGCAGTTGCCTCGTCGCAGCAACTTAGTGGCATTCGCCATCGAAACAACATGAGGCAATGAACGATTCCTGGAACCAAAGAAAATGATCGACTCGTCTCCCGGAAGATAGAGAGTAATCTCCCGGTCATGACATCTGATATCTGCATAATAAAAGGATAGCCAATCCATTCCGAGAATAAGGTCGAAGTCCCTCATCTCAAGAACAAACGCGTCGGTAGACAATGCTCGGCCACCGATGGAAAGGCTAAGGTTTGAAGCTTTAGCTGAGGTCACTATCTTTCGTCCCGAGGCTAAACTCACCTCGAGAGGATCGACAACGGTAATGGCATGAACTCCGATGGCATCAAGACATCGTCGTGAAATGAATGAATGCGTTGCTCCAGTGTCGAGCAAAGCGAAAACAGGAATATCATTAAGTACAACCATCCCTGACATAGTACCTGGCTGCTGTGCTGCCTCGGCCTGATCAACCGCATAGACTCGGGCCTGCTGTCTGCCCCTCTGCTGCTGCTGCTAAGGCGGCCTCTGTGCCTGCTGACGTGGCTGCTGCTGCTGAGGCTGCTGGGGCTGCTGCTGAAGTCTCTTCGGACAGCGACTCACAAAATGTCCAGGCTCGTGGCAGTAGTAACAAATGTCTTGACTCATATGGCACTCTCCACGATGAAGTCGTCCAAAAGTCGGGCACGGTGGAACCTGCTGCTGTCTCTGTCGGGTCCTCCTGTCGGTCTGAGCACCCTTCCCCTTCATCTTCTTCTCCTTTGCCGGCTGAGCAGCTGGTAGAGCTGGCGGAGCTGTGAATGGCTGAACTGGGGCGGATGGCTGAGCACGATCACGGACAGCCTCGCTCCTAATACTGGCGTCCACCTCCTGGGCAATAGAAACTGCACGAGCGTATGTCTGTGTCCCATGACCTACAATATTGTGACGGACTGCTGGGTAAAGCCCGTCGATGAAACGTTGTGCTCTCTGGGCCTCCGTGCGAACCAGGTCCAGAACGAAAGCTGCAAGTCTAGTAATCTCTCTCTCGTACTCATCAACAGTACGAGTACCCTGCTGGAGCGATAAGAACTGACGCTCCATCTCTGCCCGATAATAAGTGGGGTAGTACTTCTCACGGATTAGCTCCTCGAGCCTCTCCCATGTACATCCCGCCTTCTCGCCGGGACGCATGCTCCAGTAAGCGTTCCACCAGAGTCGAGCATCACCGGTGAGCTGAAGCTGAGCGCAGACTACGCGATATCTATCAGGACAATCCATGACCTCAAAGATAAACTCAAGGCCCTGAATCCATTCATCTACGATGCGGGGATCTCCCTGCCCAGAGAATTTTTCAGCATGATAGTCGCGGAACTGTGCGACTACTGTGGCCTGAGTAGGAGCTAGGTGATCGAGTTCCCTACGGGGCGACATCTGAACATTGAGAAAGTTGACATTACTGTACACATGATAATATTCTGACTGATTACTTAGACACACAGATCTCTTGACGAGTTGCCAAAAATGGCCGATAATTACTGATATGAATCCTGAGGAACTCTAGAGTCATATCGGAAGATACTTATTTCTAGAGTCATGAATATACTGAATTCTAGAGTCATATCTGAACTGTAAAGTCTGAACCTGATTCGAGCATCTTAACTAAGTCCAGATCCGTAATTTCTGAGCATAGACAAAGTAATATGTTTATAACTGAAACATAAATCAACACTTACCCGTAGTCGGCGAAGCGTGAGCGTGACGGTTCAGGTTTTTCTAAAAATTACTGACTGAAAAATTTTTTAGAGACGCAGAACGTGCTCTGATACCAATTGTAACACCCCGCCTTATCGTGAAATCAGAGTGCGAAAATTTCGCAAAGTTATTTCAAAATAAAATCTTTTACTTTGCGAAAACTGATTCGGGGTGCTACCGTAAAACGTGATTCATTTTGGAAAACCGTTATTTTAATTTTTAACAAAAATTAAACGGTTTACTGAAAGCATAAATGTTTCCAAAAGTCCGATCAAAATAAAAGTTTATCAACGTCAAAATCAGCGGAAACGTAAAATCCTCATAATATATACAATCATATCATAAAAGTCCTAAAGCATCCGTCATCTCACGCTCCCGGTCCGACATCCTGACCTGAAAAACATGATAAAAGTGGGAAGTGAGCACTATGACACTGTGCTCCGTGGAAACTCATACAAATGTAAACATTGAAAATAATAACAACATCATGATCTTGGCATATACATAACCTGAACATGAAACCGGTAATAACATGAACATGAATCTGATATCATCAC